ATCGACTTCAGAGTGTCTGCTTGGTGAACATATCACTGCACATCTACCAGCAGGCGTCCGCCAGTATAGTTCTTTCATGTATCAAACCATTGCAGCTGTTTTTATTTATTTGGTGGTTGTTTAGAGAGTCACTACACAGAATCCTGTTTAGCATCACACGCTAATTGCTTCATAGCAAAATGTTTTTCCAAGTCAGTCTTTTCCAGTGGGATTGAGAGTTGCTCATGGGAAGGGAGAAGGGAGATAGTGACCATGCTTTTGTATCAATTTAAGAATGAAGTAATTCAACACCAATCCACTCCAAATGGTGACATTGAAAGAGGCATAATGCTGCTCCACCCAAAGCTTTGTATTACATTCAGTGTGGACATTTCTGTACTTCACAGGATCTTTGTAGCTCCAGATTCAACATAGCCAAAAATTCATAGCATAAAACTTTATAGGAAATTACAAAAATGGCACCTTTCCAATAGTCCATTCCTAGTTCAGACAGTCTCATCTTAAAATTATCTAGATGATAATAAAAACAAAATTCTCTAACATGTCATGGAATTGACTCTGGAAATTGCAAGGCAAGATAATAGTCCTGGCCTTATGCAACTTAATGTGTAGAGACATGGGAGAAAAATAAAGATGGAGTTCAGGTTATGTTTCCCTATCTCTAGATTGTATTTACTGCATACTATTAACATTTACCTATTGATTGATTGATATCCAGTATAGACATCTGATCATTTAAAGGGGAGGAGGCTTCTTCTTCATCAAATCACATTGGCTACAGAGTTCTTTTCCTAAAGACAACACTGTGAGAATTCATTCCTAGAAGGCATGGTATGAAGAGCCCTCCTTCAATTGTATGCAGGTCAGGCGGGTCCACAAAGCTTGATAGCAATATTAAGACCATTTAGAAATGACCTCATTGTGATTCTAATTAGAAGGCATGTATTTATGGAACATCTGCCTGCTTCTGAGAGCCTTGCACTCTTAGAAGGAAAGCTGCTTTATAAATCTAACATATAATTAGTATAGTCACTATAGCTATTAGTTTCTGCTTATGATTCAAAAGTAAATTCGATAGCACCAGGATATAGATGGAACTGGGGAAGAAGAATGATTGCTGATGACATATTGCAGAGAAACGTAGTTTACTATTTCCCTTGAGTCAAAAGTCTCTTGAGAAGAAGGAAAGACCTATTGTTACTGTTGCTTGGATTTCATTGTATTTCATTAATTTAAAATGCAAATACACACACTATCTCTTTAAAAAAGTTAACCAGCCAATGAGTTATCAACCAGTTATTAAGGAAGGTTATATAATAACTGATTCCATGCCTACTACAGTACCTTCCTACATGTTCTAGTTATTGCAATAATTTTCCATTTTTCTACTTGCCACAGCAAGACCTTGAAACATGTGAAATAACAATAGTTGTTATGAAGTCCAGAGAAGAGGAGATGTTAAAACTTGTAGCATTAGTAAAACTACAAGACACATTAGTTAACTATAAAGTCTGTGTGGTACATGTGTCAAAAATAGTGTCCAGGTGAGCAAATTGTATAAAAGCAATGAACCAAATGTCCAGCAATGAAGCTCATAGCTGAGTGTACTAAGGGTATTTCTGTGATTATTGAATTCTTTTTATGCTGTTGTTTCTTAAACTTGAGACTTGCCGTTGGGACATTTTTATTTGGTAACAAAACCACAGGTTGCACAAAGGGCTCAGACAGATATTTGGGCAGAAACCCAGTTGTTCCCTAGAAGCTGGAAGCCTTATCAGCTCAGAATCCTGAATCTTAGGATATATTAGGTGACTCTGGAATAACCTGGGATATACAGAATGGGATGAACCCAGCTATTCTATTTTATTTTAACAATGCTGGTCATAACCCCCTATATTGATATCATGGCCCATCAAAACCTGCAGTTTTTTTAAAGTAGATCTTGATAACAGCTAAAAAATATTCAGTTCCAAATCTGACATGCTTCTAAATAACCATATGTTCGGCAAGGTTTTGGGTTTGTATTTAAATTTTTCAAATACCTATCAACAGCCTCAGTCTTTAGATAAGATATATAAAAATTCCAGATTTTTGTGTGAGTTGGCTACATCCACACCTCCCACCATACTCACCAGAGGGAGCCTAAAGCACTACAACTTGGTGTAATTTTTTAAAAAATATGTTTTTATTGATTTCAGAGAGAAAGTAAAAGGGAGGGAGGGAGGGAGAGAGAGAGAGAGAGAGAGAGAGAGAGAGAGAGAGAGAGAGAGAAACATCAATGATGACAGAGAATCATTGACTGGCTGCCTCTTGCACACCCCCCACCCCACCCCCAGGATCAAGCCCACAAGCTGGGCATATGCCCTCAATGGGAATCAAACCTGGGATCCTTCAGTCTGTGGCCCAACACTCTGTCCACTGAACCAAACCAGCTAGGGCAACTTGGTGCAATTTTTATCTTGATCATAACATCTAAGCCATGCTGACGGTTAGGGGAATATACAGGGTGCTATCATGCGCTGTGAATTTGGGACACTACAGGCGATTCCACAGCTAACAGGTTACCCATAAGTAGCAATGACTTGTCACCCCTCCTTCATGGTTTCTTTATTGCTTGTTCATCTTCTCTCTAGCATTTACAAATCCGATGCTCCATTATTACCTGCTGTAGCTCGAAAAGTTTTAGCTGGTGCTGACCTGTTGGGAAAACTAAAACTTGGGGACTACCTGTGAGATTTGTACTTCCAATGTTCACCATGTCCCAGAACAGCATTTTGCATTTTTCTTATTGCCTATTCAGTATAATTGTTCACATTCCCTGAGCACATACTGCCCACTCCTAACCACTGCCAAGTCTTCAGGAAGTTATTTACATTCAACTTTCTGGGTTAATGGCAGGAGTTCTCTTGAAAATAGTGGGCAGTGGAGACAGTGCTGGAGCATGCTCTTAATGCATGAGCCCAGTGTTAACTTTCAGGAATTGCACAAGTTTTGTTGTTGTTTTAATTCTTTATTGTTTAAAGAATTGTAATATAGTATTACATATGTCTCCTTTTCCCCTGCCATTGACCTCTCCCCGGTCACCCCCACCCTTCAGCACATGCCCTCACCCCCTCCTGTCTGTGTCCATTGGTATGGTTATATGCATGCATTCAAGTCCTTTGGTTGATCGCTTACACACACACACACACACACACACCCCTATAACTTGAAATTTGCCATGCTGGGAATACTCAACACCACAGAAGTTGGCAAATGCTACAGATCAGATTCTCCACCACCCCAGGCACATCACTGTAAGGAAACTGAATTTGGAGGGCTCTGGGAGCCCTCTGGAATGGGTTGCTGTTGAGTACAGGGGCTAGCTGGGATTTGCGATGCTGATCACCCATCTCGGCTCTGCCCCATTGGGAGCTGACACATTTATCTGCTACCTCCTTCCAGACCAGAAAAGAAGTCCGACCAGCCCAGGTGCGAGGAGCATGAAGAAGAGCGCATCAACATCTACTGTCTAAACTGTGAGGTGCCCACCTGCTCTCTGTGCAAGATCTTTGGGGCACACAAGGACTGCCAGGTGGCTCCCCTCACTCACGTGTTCCAGAGGCAGAAGGTAATGGACTCTCCACTGTCCCTCCTCTGCAGCCCCTTGAGACAGGAAGGATGGAGGGTCCCGTGGGAAGGGATGCTGCATGCACATGACCTCACGTTTGAGTAATCTGGAGATGGTGGGGAAGGCCAGAGAGGGAAGGGATGC